TAAATTATATGTACGTAATCCTATATACGAACATATATATATATATGTATATTAGATATATATATATATATATATATATCTTGAAAGTTAGGGGTTATCCTAGTATGTGGTTTCATTCTCTTCGATCAGTGTGAAATTTCGATTAATTAAATGAAACTGAAATAGAACATGCACTTAATATAATTGGAATGTAAAATCCTATTACAATGAGCTGTTTATATATATATATATATATATATATATATATATATATATATATATATATCTGGCACACAATAAAAAATAAATTCAAAAATTAAATTTTTAGAAAAATTTCAAATTCTAAAGTGTAAAATTTAAAATTTAATATTTAAATTTAATATTATGAAATACATGAATCCGTTCAAGCAGACAGACACACAAACTAACTTTTACAAAACTGCTTTTAAAAAACACTTGATTGCATAATATTAAATACATTTGAAAACATAAAAATTGTCAAATCAATTATTGCTAATTATTTTATCTAAATGCTCATTTTTAATTAGGAGTTAATTAGCTAAGGGATATAACTACGGACGCTAAGATTTTGACTGGTTTTATTCCTTAATTAAAGTTTCACATCGGATTTCTGGGATGGAAATTTGGCATATGCCACAGGGCATAAAACTTTCATATCTCTAATTAATGGCCACGACATGTGATGTGTTTCGTTTAAACAGATTTAATATGGATTGTGTGAGGATTTATTTGACAATTTTACATGGATAATAGTAGTGATTGGTTTATATAGATAAGTTAAAAGATGGACAATGGAGGAATGGGTTTATTTTAGAAAACGTAAGAATTAAGATGGATAATGGGGGGGGGATAGGTTTACTAAGATAACTTAAGATGGATAATGGGGGGGGGGAATAGGTTTACTAAGATAACTTAAGATAGATAATGGGGGGGGGATAGGTTTACTAAGATAACTTAAGATAGATAATGGGGGGGGGGAATAGGTTTACTAAGATAACTTAAGATGGACAATGGGGGTATGGGTTTATTTAGATAACTTAAGACGGGCGGGAGGGGGGATGGGACAAAAAGAGGCCTGAAAGAAAATCTGTGGCCAACTGAGCCAGATCAAATTGACCTTACTTACCTTACCAAACTCACTGCTCAACCTATGAACCTACAAAAAACCCCACCCCCACCTACCCACCCCACCCCCACATCACCAGCCCGTTGACGATAAAAAAAACATCGCTGACAATGAATGAATAGCCTTCAATCTTCAGTCAGCCACCACATACACACAGAGCCCAATGCATGCACACTCCGCCTCACACGCACAGATAGAAACACGCACCCACACACACACATACACGCGAACATATTCACACAAACACACACACACACACGCACGCGCGCGCATTAATTTACGTGCATACACATTTCAACTCTAAATAACCTTAACGCACTCAACTCCAACAAAGCTCCTGATGTTGCCCAATGTCACTTAACACCCCCCCCCCCCCCCCGCCCCCATGCTCACAGCCCTAAGTCCTCAACTCAGTGGCGTAGCCGGGAAAAGTTGTGGGGGAGGCGGGGAGTAGTTTGGGAATTCCCACAGGACAAGTCTCTCTCACGTACATTGCTGTGCTTTACGTTACAAAAGAGTGTACCGTAAAACTACAACTGTACATTTTTAAAACAAGTACACTCACACATAGGTGCGTGCACATACTAACACGCATACGCCTATGTATAATTAATTAATGTCCATATCTATATCTTTATATTTATATATAAATACGCACACAAATAAATATATACATAAATATTCATATACATATATATTATATACACACACATATATATATATATATATATATATATATGTGTGTGTGTGTATATATGTATTCATATAAGTATATATATATATATATATATATATATATATATATATATATATATATATATATATATATATATATATATATGTATATATAAATAGACATTTATAAATAAATAAATAAATATATATATATATATATATATATATATATATATATATATATATATATATATATATATATATATATATATATATATATGTGTGTGTGTGTGTATATATATGTATATATGTATGTATATACATACATAAAAGAAAACGCAAGACAAAAATCCTGAATACGCCACTGCCTCAAATCACCCGGACATTTCAATCCCCGTCCACTAAACAAAAAATCAATTTACCATCGGTGCATTTAAAAATCAATATTTCATTTGAAGAGTGTTGTAATGTAATCGCCTTGAATGGACCAATAAGTCGCATATAAGAGTTTTTTTTTTTAAATGCGCATTAAAATCGCTGTCAAAACTATACGAATATTTATTAGACGAGTATTGATTACATTAAGCATGCGCGAAGTATTTCAACTCAAGCTCTGGTGATTTTAAAAGTTGTATTCAACATATTTTAAATTTAATACTCAACATTTAAAAAAAAAATGTAAACATTTCTAAACAATTCAGTAATGCTGTAACTACAATTTATTTGGCCGTAGCTTTAAAAATAATTAATTGTATTTGTTTTAAAATTATAGAAGATCGTATCGCTTTTAGCCCATTGTGATATTTAACGCAGAGTTGTTTATTATTACATCCGGAAATCGTCAAGGGGAGTAATTTGATCGATAGGGGAGATAATTTTCGTAATTAAGAAAATAATTATATATTTTAAAAAAAAGTTTGGGTGTGCGAAGGGGATTATATGGTATATTTTAAAAGGAATAGTTACAGATTTCAAGGGAGATAATGAATTCATAAGTTACTAATGTTTTCACAAGTTAACGATGTAAAGTACCCTATAATACCATATTGTCGGTAGGGCTGATGGTGAAGTCTTCTACGTCGTTGTTGATTGTAATGTTGGACGGTATTTCCTTCAACCATTTAAGTATTACGTGTTAACATCTGCTTCTTAACTTCTTCACGAGTTGTCTCCCCTAGATGGGTTGCTGTCCCCAGCTATTAAACCTTATCAGCCCGAGGGTTCGAACTCGGGAGAAAGCAGTCTCACGCTAGATTACCCGAGCACACAGCCAGATACTTCTCTAGTTGCAGAGTACACCCAGCCCTAATAGGTACCTGGCTGTGATCGGGTAATGTCAATGCTTCTTGGCAGAGCGTTAACGACAGTATCCTGCAAAACTCTCGTCTACAATTAACACCACGTTTTGGGCGAGAGAAATAAGCAGTTTGGTTGATAGTAACTTAACAAGCATTTAAATAGGTCGAGATTGATTACTTAAATAACAGCTAATCAACATTTATTAGACAATGTACTCTGTATGATTATATATATATATATATATATATATATATATATATATATATATATATATATATATATATATATATATATATATATATATATATATATATATATATATATATTCTTCTGACTCGAATAAAGAGACTTTAATTGCCATAAAAAATAAACAATTTTTTTTTGTACTTCTATAGAATAACATTTTATTGCCAGAAATATTTCCACTCTAGCACTAATAGTTCAGGTGTAATTAATTAACCCCATTGATGGGATCGCCACGCGCTCCTGATAAATTCTCTAATCTGATTACAGCACTTTACAGTAAATCGATGTGTAATAGTCAGATTGTAGGAAATTACTTGTTTTGTTTACATGGTTTGGGAGTTAAGTTATTCAGCCTTGCTTGTTTGGGAGATGCGCAAGTAGATGTTGTATATGGTGGTAGGGTGGAGGGGGGGGGGGTGTAGGGGGGAGTGTAGGTAACTTAACCTATTTCTTAGACGGTAGCATGTTTAGGTGCATTAAGAAATCGATTAGTGAGATGCGCAAGTAGATGTTGTTGTATCTGGTGGTGATGGTGTTTTGATGTTGTAGTGGGGTGGGGTGTGTGTTCAGTTGTGGTGGGGTGTTTGTAGATGGGTGGATAACTTAAAATATTTACCTGGCAGTAGCTTGCTAGGCGCCTTAAAAAGTCGATTTTTAGAGTCGATTTTTAGAGTCGATTTTGCGGCGTGGTCGAGTGGTAGGGAGCATGACTACTAACGTGAATGACCTAACTTTTGCATTTGGATGGGAAAAACAATGTCCACGGGAGACCAACAGACAAGTCCTATAGTTATCCAGCAAGTTCTATACAAGTCCCGTTGATGTCCTATACAGACGATGTCCTTAAAATTTAACCAATGTCCTCGTCTCCAAAAAGAAATTCCCCCCCCCCCCTCATTTGCGGGAGAGCTAGTTATTTATCCGTGTGCAGCGAGTCACCTAAATAACCACTACAGTTCTCGACCACTGAATATTTTCCCGTATATGTTTTTGATGACTTCGTGTTGATGGAGATGTATGGTCGTGATTAGGTGAGCTGGGATAGTGCGTCATTTGTCGCATGAGTAACCGGAAGTCACAACTATTCACCGCTACGTCATGGGCTTCAGAAAATCCGGTTGTATGGGGAGACGGGGGTGTAAATGGTAGTCTTTTCTTGTCTCTCAGCTACTTTATATATATATATATATATATATATATATATATATATATATATATATATATATATATATATATATATATATATATATATATATATATATATATATATATATATATATATATGTATGTATATATATATATATACATACATATATATATATATATATATATATATATATATATATATATATATATATATATATATATATATATACATATTATATATGTGGGCCCCCATGTGTATCCATACTGAGCAATAGCTGAAACCTATCGTCCCACTATCTGACTGTATCAGTTTCCATCGATGTTCCACCGTTCACTCAAGTTTGACAAGTGACTCTGAATAACGTCCCCTGATTTTCCCTTGAGAAATAAAATTAAATTGCACTAAGAGTTATCGCCCCGTCACAGCGTCACTTGAATGGAATGGTGGGATGTGTTGTGGGAGAGATTTTGGCGGGTTTCTATACGATACCTTGGGGGAAATGGAATTATGAAAGCTGTAAAGTCACTGCTGAGCACATTTGATTTCAGTCAGTGTTTAAAAATAGCCCAAATGATGTATTGAATGTATAGGGAAAAATAGAATTGGGAGGAGGAAGGAGCTGGTACATAATGGTTTAATTAAATGCATACGTGTGAAAAAGATGTATTTTTTAAAAAAAAAGTCACATGATAAGCCTTCTTCTTCTTCGTTCTCAATATCTAATTTTTAAGAGAATTTCCTCTTAAATAGCGTGCCAACATATGCATTATATGGCCCGTTGACTTGGATTTCAGCATTGTTTTTTTCTGGCTTTGTTTCCATAGCCTTCGTCCATCCAAAACAATCTGCAAGGCAGCAGTTGGTTTCTTTTCCTAGATGTGTTTCTGTCCCCAGCTAACGAGCTTTATCTACCCGGGTTCGAACTTGGTACTTTTGGAGCTAACTATCACTTGCTATCCTACCCGACCACGCCGTCCCGACCACACCATCTCCTGTATTCTTGCTAATTTCTTTTTTTTTCTTTTTTTTTCAAAGGTTTCCATAGAAACCTAAAGCTAATTTGCCTTTTTTTCAAAACTAAAACCTAAGTAGCTTTAAAAAAAATCCCCCAACACACGAAAAATAACCAATTAAATGCTGCCACCTTTTGCTAGTAAACCTACAATGTTCTAAAACGAAACCTTTTCAAAGCGCCGTTCTTAGTGCCGCAAGGTTCCCTACTGATGTGGAATATGATTTAATTAGACATAGCCGAAGGAAGGCGCTACCAGACCGTAAGGGTAATCAATAGACGGGGGATTTTTTTTTTAAAGATGGTAATTGTTTAAGGGGATGGTTTCAGACTCGCCATTCAGCGGTGATACCCATTCAAGCGTGTCCGTGACCGTAATTGTATTTGGCAAAGTGATTTCTGTGTGCGAGTAATTGGATGTGATGGGTTTTTATTTCTCGAGGAAGGAGATGGTTAAATTAAATTGATACTCGTGAAAGTGATGTTTTTTTTTAAATTATATATTTTATAGTGTTACGGTAATACTTCGCGTTATTTGTTGTCTAAAATGATTATCTTCTAACAACTAAAGGGAAGTGGTACAGGGCTCAGTGGCGGAAACGAGGGGGTGTTTGAGTAGAGGGGGTACTGACCCAGGATGTATATGTAGCAGTGTCGAAATAAAACGTGTGCCGGTGCGTTTAGTTCATCGAATGAGTTGTAAAGGGACTGTATGATGATATATGGAGGTTGTTTTATGTAACATCTTCTCATTATTGAATAGTGTATCTGTGGGAGCCATATAATATATATATATATATATATATATATATATATATATATATATATATATATATATATATATATATATATATAGAGAGAGAGAGAGAGAGAGAGAGAGAGAGAGAGAGAGATCTATGAGTGTGTTAGTGTGTATGTGGACACATTTAGAACAAAGTATAACAGGTAAAAAAAAAAATCTTCACGATTGTTAAAAACAGGGGCAATCATTTATCATGTCCTTTCTATTTAAAGATGAGAGGTGTGGGGGTTGTATAAAAGGGTCGTGGGGAGGGTGGGGGGAGTTCAGGTGTCATTGTCTGATGCCAATCAAACTTTTGTTTCCAGACCGCACTTTAATGGAGGACGGGCACGCCAGGAGCCACAAGCACATTACACCGGGGAGGTGGGGGGGGGGGGAGGGGGAGATGGTGTTTACCGCGACATTCGTACAAACCCCCAGCACTATATTACAGACAATTTTCCAGTTACGTCATTTCCTGGGAATATAACATACATATGTATATATATATATATACATATATATATATATATATATATATATATATATATATATATATATATATATATATATATATATATATATATATATATATATATATATATATATATATATATATATATCAGGGGTCTCCAAACTTTTCAGTCCGAGGGCCGCATTAACTATCGAATTTCAGTTTGGGGGCCAGTTTCTTCCTAGCATGTATTTAATTTTTCTGGGCAACGTTCCTCAGCCATCACCAACAAAAGTTTTTTCCGTGGACAAAAAGATCTCCGCGGGCCGGATGAGAGGACCTCGCGGGCCGCATCCGGCCCGCGGGCCGTAGTTTGGAGACCCCTGATATATATGAATCTATTTCTTCCTATTCTAATCTCCTAGCCTAGCCTAAAAAAACCTTACAAGAAAAATCGAAATGTCTAAAAGCATGCTAGACAGAAGGTTATTTATAAACAAAGACAGCACATTCAATTCCGACCATGAATATCCGCCAGAATAAACAACAATGAAAGGAATAACGAAGTTTTATTTATGTCGAGTCGTTTCTCGCCGTTTTATCATGTTTGAAAGTAAAAATTGTTGAGCATTCCAGCTCATAAATCAGGGACATTACACTAGCGAAGAAATAAAGGAAATAATTAATTCTTGCTAACAAATAAGGGACATCACTCTACATAATAAATAAGGGACAGTACTCGAACCAATAAATAAGGGACAGCACTCCAGCTATAAACCTAAAAGACTACCTTACAGCTGACCATATAAACTTGTTGAATGCTGTTGAATCATGTCTATGCTAGACCATCGCATCTACACAACCAAGCAATTTTCTCACGAAATGCGCGCGTCTGTTTATTTCATTGATCACCCTGAGATGAGTGTTTGCCTTTTAATTACCCAAGTCTCGTCTTGAATAGAACTCTCGCGTGATCTCAAGCCCTGGGGTGTGTTTGTCAGCTAATTGCTCGAGTTCTTGTAACCAATGCCGAGAGCTCACCGTCCTCTATAATCTCAAATCCGAAGATGCTTGATAAAAATAAAGCTATAATTACTTATATTTAGTAACCCATTATTCGTTGTCTCTATGGTTAATGCTCTCTGTTTTCTTACCTATACTTGTTCTCTTCTCGATTTTTTCTTTGTTGATGTCGATTTATCCAAGATAGTTACACTAGTATGACCCCCCCCCCCCTCCCACTGTGTTTTGGCTTATAATAACATAAATACCAAAATGATAAATTTAATATTTTTACAACTTTTAATGTTTAACCAACAATTCCAGAGCCTAAAAAGCACATTTTCGCCTGTCTGGGTTGTAGTTTCCCATCAAGAAATATGAAAAAAATAATTTCAACGCTTGACTGTACGATTAAACCTTTAAACTTTACACATTTATGTCCCCTTTTTTCTTACCCTCCCCTCCCCACTACAGGTTTTCAACTATACGACCCCCCCCCCACACACACACATTTAAATAAACTACTAAACTCCTCCCCCCCCCCATAGGTTTCCAACTATACTACTCCTCCCCCCACACACATTTAAATAAACTACTAAGCTAAACTCCTCCCCCCCCCATAGGTTTCCAACTATAGTTTCTAAACTATTTCCCCACCTTCTCTTCCCACAATTTTTCACCTCTACAACAGGCTCCCCCACACATTTATCTAAACTATTTCCCCACACATTTATCTAAACTATTCCCCCACACATTTATCTAAACTATTCCCCCACACATTTATCTAAACTATTCCCCCACACATTTATCTAAACTATTTCCCCCACACATTTATCTAAACTATTCCCACACATCTCTCCCCCCACATTCCCCCACACATTTATCTAAACTATTCCCACACATTTCTCCCCCACAGGTTTTCACCTCTACGACCCTCCCCCCACATTTATCTAAACTATTTCCACACATCTCTCCCCCCACATTCCCCCACACATTTATCTAAACTATTCCCACACATTTCTCCCCCACAGGTTTTCAACTCTACGACCCTCCCCCCACATTTATCTAAACTATTCCCACTCATCTCTCCCCCCACATTCCCCCACACATTTATCTAAACTATTCCCACACATTTCTCCCCCACAGGTTTTCACCTATACGACAAGCTCCCCCACATCTTCCCCGAGAGCTGTCTCCTCATCACCCTGGGGATCCTGGTGGGCGTGACCCTGTACTACACGGAGACCGCCAGCAGCACCCAGTACACTCTGGACGCCAACACCTTCTTCCTCTTCCTCCTGCCGCCCATCATCTACGACGCCGGCTACCACATGCCCAACAGGGCCTTCTTCCACAACTTGGGAACCATCCTGTTGTTGGCGGTGGTTAATACGTTGTGGAATACTGTTGGGATAGGTGAGTTGTGTAGGTGGTGGTGGTGGTGTGGTGTTACGGATATCATTGTTGTGTGGCGTTTGTGGTGGTGGTGGTGTTGTGGTGTATGGGATAGGTGTGTCGTGTTGTGTTGGTAGTGGTGTGGTGTGGTGTTACGGATAGTTATGTTGTGTGGCGTTGGTGCTGGTGGTGTTGCTGTTGTGGTGTATGGGATAGGAATGTCATGTTGTTGTGGTGGTGTGGTGCTAGGGATAGGAATGTCATGTTGTTGTGGTGGTGTGGTGCTAGGGATAGGAATGTCGTGTTGTGTTGGTGGTGGTGTGGTGCTAAGGATAGGAATGTCGTGTTGTGTTGGTGGTGGTGTGGTGCTAGGGATAGGAATGACGTGTTGTGTTGGTGGTGTTGTGGGTAGGAGTTAGGTATGTCGTGTTTTGTTTGTGGTGTTGTTATGTTGGTGGTGTTTGAAATAGGTATGTCGTGTTATGTTGGTGGTGGTGGTGGTGTTGTGGAGTAGTGGATAGGAATGTCGTGTGGTGGTGGTGGTGTAGGCGCTAGGTATGTCGTGTTGTGGTGGTGTTGTGATTGTGTGGGGTAGGAGATAGGTAATTCGTGTGGTTTTAGTGGTGTTGTGAAATAAATTGTACAAAGGTCCTTACAAGATTAAAATAAAACAACATGTTCATTTCGTTTAAATCATCAAACAAAAAATAAATAAATAAAATAAATATGAATAAAAATGAAAATGAAAATTATTAAAGTTTGTAATCGGTATTACCCCACAATTTCCGAAACAAATCTTGAAACTTTTATACCCTGTCAAAAAAAAAAAAACAAGGAAAAACCGTTTAACAATTCTATCCTTATTTCTTTTTGTAACATCAGTAAGGAGGATTAACACAATCCGTTTGTCGCATTTACTTTTTGTTTCTCCCACAAATAGACGCCGATGAAGCGTCGTATTAACTATCTATTTATAAACTCACCCACCCCAGCCCCCCTCTGGCGTTGATATATCAAATATTTTATGACTCAGTGCCAAAAACTTTCTGTAATTCTTTTTTGGTTCCAGAAATTAATCAGTTCGTAATTGATGTCAAGTTAAATTAGCTAAAAACCCCCTCTGAGCCCCTCCCCCCCCCCCCCCCCCCAGGTTTGTACTAACCTGTATACCGAACCCAACTAATTAATTTAACTCAATAATTATGTACCCTCATTATGTATCAAGTTTTTTTCTCAAGGAATTCAATATAAAATAAAAGAATATTCTAATTTCAATTGGCCTTTTATTTTTCCCGTTTCATTAAAACCTGCTGTTCATATATAACCTCTGCCTGTTATATTATCTATATATATAATTCTCTTCTGGGAGCCGTTAGAAAACAAGCTGCAAGCGCCTCCTTGCTGTCCCCTCTCTTTCTCTCTATAACTATCACTACCACCCCCACCCCACCCCCACATTGTCTGGTGAGTTGTGGTCACGCTAAATGTTAACAAAGCAAAATGTTTACAAATCGTAGAGCCGTATAGCCGGGTTTCTATTAGGGGCAGATAATTTAGTTCGATTTTAAACTAACAGGAGGTAACTAAGAAATAACTAAGAGGAGGCTGCTTTCAAGGGGGGGGGATGTAGGGTTGGGGTTAGGGTAAAGGGGGGGGGGGGTAGTGTTTTAAAGCAAATATTTTCAGTGGCAGCTTTGGTACTGTCGAATTCACAAATTATGAATAACTGAAAAGTAGAAAATAAAACAACTAAATAGCGGCGTGTGATACGCTGCGGGTCGGCTCGTATTGGTTAATCCCTCACTACCAGTATCAACAAAAACAACACATTTTCGCGACACTATCGTGTTCCGGCAAGTCTCTGCCCTTGCCAATAGCTTTGTCACGATCGCGTTATTGTTTCATGGCCAGATATTTTTTTGCACCTGGGTGCCAAATTTTTGTGAGTGACTGACTGCGATTCGTTTTGCCAGTAGTCAGAGGGAGAAAAAAAGCCAAACATTGTTGACGCTTTTAGGATTAAGCTGTCGTTTGGCGCCGTTTGTTAACTTCGTTAACGCCATTGTTTAAACCAGGAATTGGCGATGTTTTTGGTAATAAGGAAAAAAAAAATGTTTTATGTCTTCTATAGTTCTTATACAAAACTATTTGTATTTTAAATTTAGAAAAGATAATTATAAAATGTTTTAACTCTTTAAGCTTTGGCAAACAAAATTGTTATCACAGTCCTTGTCCGTCCTCTTTTCAGTTAATTTTTCATTCATTAGAAATCAGTAAAGTATCACTTCCAATTAACGGAAATGGCTCAAATTTTGTTAGAAACCTATGGATAGTATTTAAAACTCATATATAGGAAATTTCCTTCACTTAGCTGAAGCTATTGACTTTTGAAAGCCGTTGATATAGTAAAATATGACGTACAAATCTAATATTTATATATGGAGTTTCCAATAACCCAACTGAAACGACACTGTTATCGTTTTAACACAAACACACATACTAACAGACGCACACACACACACCGACAAAACTGTTTTTTTCCGACTCAGGAAGGTGCAAAACGTCGAAAATTAGTAAAATCTTGATATTAATTTTTCTTAAGCACGATTACAATCATTTTTTCAGTACTCCGTACACGAGTAAGTAAAAATGTGTGAAAATGTACACATTACTAAAATACGTCTCAGTGTAGTATCTAAATTAGAATTTAAAAAAAAAATAAAACGTTCACTCTGGCTATATTATATTGCAGCGGAAATTAATTGTTCAGCGTTTTTTCCTTAATTAACATAACTAAAAATTCATCTCAAGGCTCTCCCCGACTCGAGAACTAAATCCAAACCTGCAAAAACAAGCCCTAATCCTTGCACTAGACTCCAACCCTTACACTTAATCCACCCCTAACCCTGCTCCCATCCCAAACCTTTATTGACGACGCTAATGGGAAAGCACCCAGTTGACCTCATCAGGTGGATCAGCTAGAGTTATTTACCACAAGCCTTAGTTTACAGGGCACAGAGTGTCTGTGTTATTTCATTGGAAACCAGTTTTTTTTTTTAAACTGTCAGTTTTCCATGTCTAGCTCTTCTATATTGGAGGTAATAAATCTTTAGCCCTGCGCTTGATTGAAATGTACATTACGATTTTTAATTGAAAAACAGGTTTAATTAAAAATACACTTACAAGTGCACACGTCCCTCCCCCCCCAACCCCACCAAAACACACATGTACACACATGTACGCAAATACACGAACACACATACACCACCAACCAGCAATCCTTCTGATCTCTTTTGCTTAACCGAAATGTAAATTCAAAGATCTAGTAATGAAAAAGAAAACTGCTTTAATAGCATACACTTATTGTATACATAACGCTTCGTAAAAATTGTATTTGGAATTCCAATTGAATAAACAATCAGAGACACAATATTCAACTCGCAGATACTAGGTCAAGCTTTAATCTTACCTTCACTCATTCTCAGTGGCGTAGCGAGGTGCGGCACTTAATGGTGTCACCCCCCCCCCCCCCCCAGAGGCGTAGCGACCCTTCCCAGGGACAAACTTTCAAGTTTTCGATTTGCACCCCCCCCCCTCAAACTTTCGATTTGCACCCCCCCCCTCAAACTTTCGATTTGCACCCCCCCCTTCAAGTTTTTCTCTATATATTTTTGCTATTTTTTGCCTTGGTGTCACCCCTTCCCTAAATGGTGTCACCCGGTGCGGTCCGCCCCCCCCCCTCGCTACGTTCCTGCTCATTCTGCTAGATTGGAATGCATATTAAAATTTAATTGGATACAGTTTATGCTGATATTTTATGAATTCAGGTATAAGGGCATTCCCTGAATAACATCTCTTTTAAGCAGAACACACGCTTGCTGGTTATACTAGTGTACTTCTTAAGTTAACATTTTTTTTTTAAAAATACATAAATACAATACAGAAATATATTTTTTTAACTTAAACATTGGACAAACAGAGCTTGTAGTTGTAAAAAATAAAAATTGTAATGTAAAAAGGTACTGTTGATGGGTAATTAAAAGTATTCCTGTAAAGTAGTGTAAAGACGATGGCGAAAATGGCACAAGAACGATAACTTGTTTGTTCAACTCTCAAGGGAGGTAATTCATCACATAAGGCTATCGATGTTTTAATAAGAGAGCTGTAATTATGTAAGGGTTTGGATTATGATTAGGATAATGATAAGGATCAGTATCGGGGGAAATAATAATAATGAAGACGTAGATGATACTGGATGATGAATTTTATTTTTATTTTTTTTGGAAATGCAACATTTGTTGGATGGAACGGCGTGGCCTAGCGCTAGAGATCCAGACTGCTAACTTGAAAGTCTCAAGTTCGAACACGGGTTCAATTCAGTGTCACGTCCCTTAGTCCACCCAGCTCTGATAGGTACCTATACCTAACTCACGTTAGCTAAAGTAAAGGCGGTTGGGTATAGTGCTGACCACATTATCCCTTCATATGCCGAGGTCAAGAAACATAGACTTCATCTGCTCAATGCTAGTTCTAAAGAAGAATCTTTACTTTTTTTTTACATTCATTTGAAGTATTATTTTGTATATTTGTTACCTTCTCGCTACCTACAATAATCATGGACAATAACACGTCTAAATGCCTATAGTCTATAGTAGTCTATACCCAGTTGGTTATAAATGATGATTAGAAACAGCAAGCTGAGATTTACCCTAGTCCTAAAACTAATTCCAACCATACATGTTAACTATATCTTAAAATTATGCTTTACCTAAGCCCTGAAACTAAACTTCATCCCGATTTTAAAAAAAAAATTTTAACTTTTTAAAAAACGATTTTTGTGTGTGGATAAGTCGAAGTGGCCAGTACATTTGTAGAGAAAATAGACAAATGTAAATTAACGAATGTTTCGAGACAAAAGCCATACATTGTGCTAGTATATGCACTGGGCACACCCAGGACTCTCGCCTACACAGAGATAATGACCAATAAGTGTTGTTTTATTAACAACGATTAAAATATAG